TTCCCGTTGCTTGACTATTGTCAGACTGAAATTTTCGGTTTCTCTTGATATGTCAGCTTTGATGATGTCTGAAGATTGATATGATGTTATTTTGATGCATGATGACAGGCAGTAGAATCCAGGATACGCGTTTCGACCTGCTTGGGACTCGTCAGTACTGAGAGGAGATATGTCAACAGAGACCGGACATTTCGGTCCAACATAATCAACCAACGGGAAATGCAAATTAGCTCAAAACAGCAGTAACTGATATGCAATGCACAAGAAGTGGTCCATTGTGACCCCTGTGGATACGGCTATGGCATTTGAAAGGATAGGTATAGGGTTTGAGTCTCAGTGGGAACACCATCAATCACTGGAGATGCAGGCACATTCAGTTAACGAGTCACGAATGGGACATACGCGTCCGGGATTCCACTGCTAGTTACCATCAACCAATATAACACGAAAACTGCACACTGAAACTTAATCGAAATACAGTGAAACTACAACAGAAATGTATATTTGAAAGTAAAAAGAGTAGTTAAATAAGGAATAGTAGAGACACTCCGAATATCGGAAATGACAAACAGTAAACACATTTTCACTTCTGAGTCTACAAACATAAATTCTTCACATGCTGAGAACTGCCTACATGCAATCAACACTACATTGGCTAAACTGGACGTCCTCTTCCTCTTCGCATCTATGAACATAAACTATCGGTCAAAACACATGACATCCACTTCCTCAAATCGTTGCATACAGGCAACCACGGACATCAATTCGATTGGGACAACGTTCAAGTAATAGACAGAGGAATCACCAAGAAAGCTAGAGAATTTTTAGAAGCCTGATATTCCAGTGAATCGTCAATCAATAGACACATCGAGATAGACAAAACCTACCAACCGATAAGAAGGAAACCTCACACACAAAGGATCAAAGTTCAAGTCAAGGAAACAATCAGTGGCAATGCAAGTAGCCTAGAGGGTATGAGAACACAAGATCAACCATTCACGTCCAAGATCATCGGGAGAGATGACTAATAAACTCGTGGAGAAATGTAAAAGCTCACTTCAAATTGAAGTATGCGCTGAAGATGTTGCCTAGTAGGGTAATGAAAGCTTCGCGAATAAATCATCCAGCTCAGAGGACACAACTACATCAAAATTTCTTTAATGTTTACATAGCCAAGAGCGTGCATGACTTCAGATTTATTGCACGTTTTATAGTTGGTAATGGAAGAAAAGAAGCTTTGAACGACTATGTCACAAGATGGTAATCAATATGCCTGTCTAATCTTAAGTTTTCCGATCAAAACTTACTAATATAATCATAAAACTAAATGACACGATAATGTTGTATAAAAGCCGGTGCACTTGTTATTCTGATATCAGGTGAAATCAAATATTAGGCACTTCTTATGACTTAGTTTTGCATCTGTTAGCACTTTCCCATTAAGCACGGCTGAGGACAATCATAATGTGACCTGAAAACTTTTAGTGATGATAAAGTCACTGACTTCACAACACTGGTATACCCCACGAGTTCGAGACAGCATAGATACAAGAATTTCTTGAAAATTGCACATACACCTTGCCTAATGCCAAAAATCACGAAATTTACGTTGAGAGTTTCAGCTTCTCACCTCATTTTAGTGTCTAGAAATATGCATATTGTTCAGTTTCACATTCATTCAGGATAGGGATGAATAGTCTCTCCTAACTAATATGAAGGTTGACGACTGACTGTTGGGTGTGCTATATGCAGTCAAGCGCCAACACTAAGATTCAGATAAAATAATACTAAATTATTTCAACAGCTTAGTTATATTCAGAATACCGGTAACCTTGACTACTTACTTCATAGAATGGTTGTATGTTACATAGAGAGTAATTTGACGCTGAATTCTTAAAGTATTAATGTGACTGAAAAGTGAATGACTACTACTACTAATAGTATGTTTGATGGGTAAATACAGCGCAAAAATAGCATGTTGTTAAGCAGAACACACTCAAATCTTTTAACGGTAATAGCACTTAAGTTTAAAAGCTCTATCTGACATTAGTTTTATTTACCATAAACACCACTAATGGAGTTATTAAGAATTTTCCTAGGAAAAGAGTAATATTAGTTAGTAGTAGTGAAGGGGGGAAAAAATGAATCTATCATAGTTTTTTTGTGATAATGATCACAAGTCACCGTAGACACACAGGCACATAAACAAGCATTTCCCTTCTTCAGACTGAAGTCAAACAAAATACTGAAGGCTTAGAATAAAAGCAAATGACAGTGGAACTTTCACACACACATATACATACATGGGTATAATGGGCGTGAATAATGTCCAAGGCATATGCTGACTGACTACACTAACCACCAGCAGTTTTACACATCCTAATCAATTAAGGTAGCATAATTTACTCCTTATAGATCATTTCATAATTACAAGTCAATAATTTCTTCTGTTTTTTATTTAAAGGTCATTATTAACACTATCATCGGAGGAAAGTGCATTTTGTGCTATATATTTCCCTCCTAGTTAAGTTGTGTGTGTGTGTGTGATAGTGTGTCAGTATGTAAGGGAACTAAATAAAAGAACATTGGTTACTAATTTTAATTACTTACGTCTATCAATTAATGAACAGACTATTAAATTAGTACTGTACTTTTAAAAAGGAAGATAGAGACGACAACGGTTAAAACTGTGCTCTCAATATATATACATATATGAAGAGCAAGCTGACAACTTAATTTACGAATTTACATTAGATCCACCAAAATAAAAAAAGATTTAAGTCAACAGTTGCTTTCAATATCTCTTTTTTCCTTACACTAATCTCTACAATGACAAATTCAACATATCATAGAGTAGCCAAATAACGGCAAAATTAAAGCTATGCCAAAAACAGGAACACGGTGGCTAGAATGAAATGTGGTTTAGTTAAAGGATAGAATGGTTCGGCGGTAGGTTTCGCTTGTACTTTAATTGCATGCATAATGCACAGACAATACAAACACGAGGCAGATATAGTTAAACTGCAGAAGCCTATCAGTAATGACTCAACTAAATAAATGACTCAACGAAAGAGCCTACAAAATGACGTCAAAGCCCGACCGATAACTGCTACCTTGCCGTGGTGGTCGGGTTTGAATGCCGCAGTGATCCAACAAGCTAAACTGCCTGGGACTCGTGTCCCTGCAGGTCCTACCATGTCAGGAAGGTTGTTTGGATAGCGGTTAGACTAAAAGCAGTTACCATGGGGTACATGGGCTCCAGAATTCAATCGGATCAAATGGCGTACGAACCCATATGGCGCACCGGCAACCATGGGAATGCAGCTCCTGACGCTGCTCCGCTGCCTTGCGGATTAGACTCCAAGTCAAAGGCTCGAGGGGTGGTCCCCTTAGGAAAACCACCTGCTTCGGTCTGGGCACCCGGGCAGTATCTCAGCCCTCACACAGTATTGCGTGGCGCATCTTTCTTGGTGCCATATTGTACCAAGTTTTTCTGCGTTTAAATAAATAAATAATAAATAAATAAATGACTCAACGAAAGAGCTTACAAAATGACGTCAAAGCAACCAATCACATCATGAATACCGTGTATGGATTGTGCTCATAATTTGCTCTTCATTTGATACCCTAGTTTTATCTAGATCATGGATCATCTATTAAGCTTTAACGAAGAAACCGCATTACAGTATTTTAATGAGGAATAAGATTGTCTGTACATTTGGGAACAAAGGTTTATCAATAAATTTACCAGTCTTAACGTAGATCTTCTGCGACTGATCCTTCATAGTCGTTTAGATGGTACTTAGTGGTGGCTGCTACAATTTAACTTCCCTATGATTCAGCGACGTATTTGTGGATTTATCGTCAAAGTGTCGGTCACAATAATTGGGAATAATGAAAGCAACACGTCACATATTGTCAGCCTAGTGCGAATAGTGTCTTCAAAGGGAGTAAAGGACAGAAAAAAGACTGTTAAGCTATGCAGGTACGCAAGACACGGAGGTATGAAATGATCAAATCTACGATGAGCTTTTGTCTGGGTCTGGGTATAGATAGAACTTGAAGGTGATTTATTTAGATGCAAAAGCTTAGCCCATTCTTGCTAATTCTAATGGCTTCACTTGTGAATCAAATACGTAAACGTGTACCAATCTGACGTATAACTTAGCACTTTAAATACTACTGTAAATGGTTTTTTCACTAAATGAGATGAGACAGCATTGTTTATTGAACGAGTTATTTCTTTCGACAGAGAAACTGGGACACATAAGAAAAAGTCAATCTGAGTACGGTATATAAAACTAGTCCCCACAGGAGGAGGAGTTCAACCTGTATACACATATTGTTGTTGATGTTGCTATCTGTGATGACATATACTCAATACACTATATCAGTATAGGTCAAGTTGAGAAGCTTGTGTTATTCGGCGGCATTCAATGTCTTTCAAAGAGTTTTGATCAGCTTATGACTTAATATATCACAAGATATTCTGCCTTTTAGTTGCATTCATAGGTACACTCACTCACTCACTCACTCACTCACTCACTCACTCACTCACTCACTCACTCACTCACTCACTCACTCACTCACTCACTCACTCACTCACTCACTCACTCACTCACTCACTCACTCACTCACTCACTCACTCACTCACTCACTCACTCACTCACTCACTCACTCACTCACTCACTCACTCACTCACTCACTCACTCACTCACTCACTCACTCACTCACTCACTCACTCACTCACTCACTCACTCACTCACTCACTCACTCACTCACTCACTCACTCACTCACTCACTCACTCACTCACTCACTCACTCACTCACTCACTCACTCACTCACTCACTCACTCACTCACTCACTCACTCACTCACTCACTCACTCACTCACTCACTCACTCACTCACTCACTCACTCACTCACTCACTCACTCACTCACTCACTCACTCACTCACTCACTCACTCACTCACTCACTCACTCACTCACTCACTCACTCACTCACTCACTCACTCACTCACTCACTCACTCACTCACTCACTCACTCACTCACTCACTCACTCACTCACTCACTCACTCACTCACTCACTCACTCACTTACTCACTGATCCCCTTTATCTTATCAGTTCTAGATGTGTACTTCTTCACAAAATCACTGTGATAACCACTTTATGCAAAAGTACGCTTCATTTTATAAATATAATTTGTTCCATTCCATAATGTACAAACTTTTCATAGACACCACTTGTACTCTTCAGATTAGGCTTTTTTTTCATTAATGCAGTTATTAAAGTGTGAGTTTTTGTTCTATGACGAAGACAGAGAATTAAATTGCATTTGTACTTCATCACTGTGAATGTATTGTCTGTTCAGCGTAGTTTTCCTAAAAGCATATCTCCCTATAGACTCATCATTTCTCCTAGCTTCATGCCCAACCTTTCTCCTTTCCTGAGATTTCGGAGTGCGTCGTCCGGGAATTGAACCCCAAACCACATGCGTGGTTGATGAGCATCCTACCACTGGACCAGTGATACACTAAATTTAATTGAGTCAGCTGGATATAATTAAACACATAGAATAGATCCTGTTTATTGAAGTATCTTATCACAGATAATAAACGATACGTTTTCATAACGAAAAAATATTCAAGTATTACATTCATATCGTTTAAGACTATAGCAACATTGAACAGATGTACGACTGTATTAAACTCTAACTCAAACAAAACAACTAGGCATAAATATCGAAACGTACGGAGTGATCGCTTAGGCACATTGTTCTGTCCTGAATTCTACATTTACTTCACTTCTTCCCATCGCTTCATATTTCACTCCTACAGTCAGATTTGGGAAATAGTCCAACAAATAGAGGTCACGGTATGTCGTGAATTGGCAGAAGTTAGAATTCATGGGCTGGCCACTAGATCGGGTCCCAGTGGCTTAATGGTCTACGAGCTCGCCTTGTAACCAGGAGGTTCTGGGTTCGAACCCCGGTGGATGCGTACTGCAGAAGAGTCCCAAACTAGGACAAAACAGCTGTCCAGTACTCCCAGGTTTTCCCATGGTTCTCTAACCAATGTCTGCTCATGATGAAATTCTGTAACACAGGATTTAACTGAAACAGGCAATTGATATTAGATGGTTGGAGGCGATCAGCCAAAGGAAGCCTTGGACCCAAGGTTTCGTTCTAGTTGGCACTCAACAGTCAGAAAGGCGTATCTGCAACCTTGAAGGAACTCATGTCCCTTCGGAGATTCGAACTCGTGTCACCCAGTGTTGCAGTCAGAGACGTTACCATTGAGCTATTCGTACTCGCGATTGACCTCCTGTAGGACTGTATATTTTTGATATAGTATTTATATATATAATACTACAAAAGGGAACAATGGTTATGGGACACTTAATGTTCTAATACTACCACGTAATAGATTAAGTATATTATAAATACAAAAATGCGTTTTTATTAGTAAAAACAACAACAAACAAACAAACTGACTTACAATTCATGAAATCATTCAGCAATTCCGTGTGATTAAGAATATCTTCTGATAATGAAGAACAATCTCGAACTAGACTGTTGACTAGGCCAAATAAATCAACGCATATATTAATGTGTGTCATAGACCATTGTTTCAAACGACCAAGTGAATCAAGCAGGCTGAAATTAATGGACAATGCATTATTATTACTAATAATTATATATATATATATATACCATTATCAGATTTACTTAATCAGCAAGGAAAGTTTTATTTAGAAGAATGGATAATGCAACTTCATTAATCCACCGACTTGTAAAAAAACATAGCAAAATAGAATTGTTAGATTTTCGTCACGAACCAACATCAGTTAGAGAGATCACTGAGAAGCAGGGAGCACTGGACGGATGTTTCGTCCTATTCCGGGCCTCCTCCTCATCAGTGCGCATCCGTGATCCCACGAACCTGGGACCTTCTTCAGGTGGTTACAAGACTAAGCTCGTTGACCATTTTAGCCACTAGAAGGACTGGAATTCAACCTGTGATGACATAGCGGTTCTCCTCACCAAAGCATTCGATGGGTATCCTCCCCTCCGCTTTGATGTTTGTTCGTGACAAAAATCTAAGAGTTGTAATTAATGCAAAACCCTCTGTCTGCCTGTCTGTTTTCGACATAGAACTTTGCACATATGTGCGGCAGTTCAAGTCGCCACACTCCATGTAGCACACAAAGCAAGAGGAGAAATGCATAATAAGACAGTAAACAGAGGTGTGAGACAAAGGAGTAGTAATAACGAAGAACAAAACAGTTTCATTGGAAATTATAAGTCACAAGGAGTGGATGCATCTGCACCCGCCATTGAGAACGATTTTGAGCCATGTCACCAATTGTTTCCAACCATTGGTTTTTACCGTCCCGAGGACCCCAACCAGTCAGGAAGTCTACATCTCCCTACGTGGCTTAGACTAGCTGTTGTAGATTTCATTGACTGGAGTCATGTTTTCGTTTGACCGCCGCTAGCTCTTTTCCAGCCTGGCTCTATATCAGCTAACATTGCCCATCGGTCGAGAAAGGCGATGACTAGGCATACGTAGCACATGTCCTAGCCATCTCAGTCGATGTAATTTCACAGTCTCGTTTATTGATTTCCCCCCTTACCTAGCACTCAACCGAAGCCTAACCTCAATATTGCTCACCTTATTATACCACTTCACACCTATGATCCAAAACCCTCACAAATCGTATGATCTAAGTATGAATAGGAAAAAGTTTTATTAATCCAACAGAAATATGGAGGATATAAAGAATGATGAATTTACTGTAATCTTTACTAAGCTATGCAGTAAACAATCTAGTAAATTTTACAAAAATTAGATTACAGGTATAGGTTCAGAATCATATGAAGTTGTACTCTGTTGTTGCTGAAAATACGTTTTACTTGTTTATGGACAAGAGTAAACCGAATTCTGTCACAGATGATATGATGATTGGTTAGTACCCTTAGATCTTTAAAATCAAATCGTTTTGTGTAACCCAGAATGTTGACTTAAAAAATATAGGCGGTGAATTGTATTTATTGCGCTGGTTGCAGACTTTAATCAACAGCTGCCTTCACTTTATACTGAAGATCAGATGGATAGAAAGGATAAGCAACAGGGAATCTATTGCCCAACTGATATGCCGAAGGAAATAGAGATAGATCAGACACACGCTGAGACCGTTGAGTGAAATTTCGGGCCAGGTATACCCTCGAATGGAAAACGACGAGTTGAGCAATCAAGGGTGACATGGGGGAGATCGTGTGAAGAGGAGATCAGAGTTTATGGGTAATTTTAGAGCCAGATAAAGAAAACTGCAGAGAACAGGATGAATGATGATGTACTGTTGAAGACCTATGTTCCACTAGGAACCCAAGGGAGCAATAATAATGACATAATGTGTAGTCAGTAGGTATCAGGAGCATAAATTAGCTTTATTTGTTCAAACGAGACTACACGTTAATGACTCTCACAAAATAGAAGAGAGAATCACATCGACCCTTAAATATCTAGAGCATAAAACCACTGGTCTTTAAAGAAGGTTTTAAAAACATCCAGGTAATTTTTTTTTGATTGAACACTAGTTAGTGACTAGCGTCCAATCAAAGTATCCAATACAGTTAGTTCTACAGGAGGTCATTCGCGAGCCCAAATACCTCAGTGGTAACGTTTCTGACTGTAGGACTGGGTGACGCGGGGTCGAATCTCAGAAGGGATATGAGTCCTTTCAAAGTTGCAGATACGTCTTGCTGACTGTTGGGTGCCAACTAGCAGGTCCAAGGCTTCCTGTGGCCGATTCCCTCCCACCATTTAATACAGGTAAGTTTGAATTCCTACAAATAGGGTATTTATAAAACCAATACTGGAATTATTGATTACCACAAATAGTAGAGAACCTATTTTATGATAAATGAAAGTAGAAATTTGTGTTATGAGTGAGTGAATTGTTTTCGTTTTAAATAATCACGACTCATTTTATTCATACATTGATTTGAATCATGATACCTATTAACGTGACATTTACTTATTATAAAATAAGGATATTATATATATGATATTTTAAAAAAGTTAGATATGAGGTCTACATTGAAAATAAATGGGTATTACTAAATGTTTGACAACTGGATACAAAAAAAATCAAACAAAATGAAAGTATCATTGCAGTGTGATGCGTAGACATAAACTCACCGTGGACGAAGAATAGAGCTATTGCCAACAACCAATTTATTCATTACACTAGCCACAACAAACTGACGAAGAATCCTATAAAATAACAGTAATGATAACAACTATGTCTTTATTCAAAGCAACAACTTTAGGTGTTGTTCATACAGCAACGATTTATCTCAATTTACAAATAAATACATACATAAAACAGTAAGAACTGAAGGTTAATAGAGCAATAATATGTGTAATAATAATAATAATAATAATAATAATAATAATTCAGGTTACAATTTACTGTTTATTTACCCATTAAAAGGTAGGTTTATAAGATCATTTTCTGACATTTGTCTCTTCACCCAAAATCCGTGCTAAATAGTATTTTTGAATTTGAATTTTTCATACTTCGCCGTACGAGCATAAACGCTTATGAAATTCCTTCTGGTTTTAAACGAGGAAAGACAATGAGAAAGTTGCGAAGCGAGAGGATGTTTGTTATCAGACAAGATGACTTTAGCTAACTGCTTGCAGGAATTAAAATGCCTATCAACAGCATTGTCACAGTTAGAGGAGTCAAACGCACACCACTAACAGTAATTACAACCTCCAATATTCTACTTAATATGACATAGTCTTTTTTGAGAATACGAGGGAAGAAAGAATGAGGGAAAACTAAAAAAGAATAGGGAGAAGAGGTTGAGTTACGCCAGAAAGTTAACTTCCTTACTTAATAAGTCAATAGATAGGTTCCCTTAGAAATCAATAAGACATGAGACGACCGACAAAGATGTGAAGAGAAACTGAAGCCAAGGTAGGTAATATTTGATTTCAAAATAGAAAATATCCCCATTTAGACATTTGGAAAACAGAAAGATTGAGCGGAGAAATATTTACTTTTCAATTAGATCCTCTTCTCTGGCTCTACTCTAATATATATAGCATTTTTACAATACACAACAGTTTACCAATCAAGTGGCGATTTGTTTGTTAACAATAATTAACCAGTGTCAAAATGTCAATGGGTTGATAATTAACGCAGAAAATCAATACACATTTAAAAGGTAGAAATGGTTAGAATAAATTAATTTTACAAGGATAACACGTAATTAAAGATGAAGTGGTCAAAATAAATAAAAATGAAATAATTTGGACAATTATAATTTAATAGGTTTAGGGGGAGGGGGGCGACGTAGTCCTGTTTATGCATTCTTCTAGAGATGGCCACGGTAAGGAAAGTGGCTGTACAAATTTCTTCTGAACACATAGGCTTGGCTTCTTAAGGTGGATTCCGATTGCTTCAGCTGTCTGTAGAAGACGAACTCGTAGAGCAAAGTTAATATTAGTCGGAATGCGATAAATAATTTTAAATGCAGTATTCACATCAACCTTGTGCTCATTATCAACAAGGTGTGCTAAAATAGAACTACGAATAGATCTTGTTTGTCCCTTGCTTAACCACGCTGAATGATGTTCAGAAATACAAACAAGATCTATTCGTAGTTCTATTTTAGCACACCTTGTTGATAATGAGCACAAGGTTGATGTGAATACTGCATTTAAAATTATTTATCGCATTCCGACTAATATTAACTTTGCTCTACGAGTTCGTCTTCTACAGACAGCTGAAGCAATCGGAATCCACCTTAAGAAGCCAAGCCTATGTGTTCAGAAGAAATTTGTACAGCCACTTTCCTTACCGTGACCATCTCTAGAAGAATGCATAAACAGGACTACGTCGCACCCCTCCCCCTAAACCTATTAAATTATAATTGTCCAAATTATTTCATTTTTATTTATTTTGGCCACTTCATCTTTAATTACGTGTTATCCTTGTAAAATTAATTTATTCTATCCATTTCTACCTCTTAAATGTGTATTGATTTTCTGCGTTAATTATCAACCCATTGACATTTTGACACTGTTTAATTATTGTTAACAAACAAATCGCCACTTGATTGGTAAACTGTTGTGTATTGTAAAAATGCTATATATATTAGAGTAGAGCCAGAGAAGAGGATCTAATTGAAAAGTAAATATTTCTCCGCTCAATCTTTCTGTTTTCCAAATATTTGATTTATTTTGATGTGGTTGTGTTCTCTGAGCTGGATAGTCTTGTTCGCATCTCAAACTAAAATTAACAGGCTGATACTTAGAGGGATTCAGTTTAAGACCATTTGAGCTAAACTACTGGTTAACCTGAGATAAGGATCTATTCATGTAAGAACAATCCAAAGCAGAAACAACTGGGACGAATTGTCATATCTTCATCATATTTAGTGAAATCGGATTTAGAAGAATACGGTAGGCCATGCAAAAAGAAAGGAACGGAGAAATTACAGCACCTTGGGGCACACCAGCTTCCGTAAGCAAAACAGTAGAGCGCTTTCCATTTAAAGCTGTATGTTACTTCATAAATGAAAAGTAGGAACACAGCCACTTTGTAGCCTAGGACTCAGTGCGTGCTGAAGTCTGCTAGCTTATTAAAAGTGCCCCACGAATACAATCAAATGCAGCAATGTAGTCGAAAAAGGCGGATCGAACAAACTTTTCACTCTTATCTAGGCTGAAAAAATATATTATGGTGCAGTGCAATAACAGCACCTGAAGTGCATCTACTGCATTCATAAGCAAATTGTTTGGGATCACTGGAAGATGGTAAACAGGGTTTATGAACAATTATGAGAAGTGTATCCATAGTTTTCAAAAATGAAGATGTGATGGCGATTGGCCTAAACCGTACACTTGGTACAGATGATTTTGGTACGGGTACGATCTTTATTTCTTTCCAAGCAACAGGTGCTGTATCCTTATGAAATGATGCATTAAAGATTTGTGTAAGAGAATGATACAAAACATCTGCACACTTTTGAAGTAAAATTTCTGACACTCTATCAATAACTAAGCTGTATGACAGACTTAAGGATTTGAGACACGTTTATACATCCCTTTCATCAAAACACTTATGTGACTAGGGGTATCAGGTACAACTATATTAACTTGTTGCTTTAGAAAAGATCGATTTAAGGCGTTTATTATCAGAATAACCATCAACAGAAATTTTTTAATGGTTTGTAGGCCAATTAAAAAGTTTTCAGATGTTATAAGCATTTTTACATAATAAAATGTGGAAAAGATCACTTTGAATAAAACTTAAATTCGCAAGTCAAGGTCAACAATATAATCTTCGAGAATAGTGCTGCTAATCATGAAATTTCTATTTTACTGTTTGACTACTCATAAGTAGCACGATTGCCTTTACTAAATTTCGCATGTGCTGGAAAGGCAATTACCTGGAGTGTAAACGAATCAATTTGAAGTGCTAATGAACTATAACATGGTTTGACTTCAGGGATGTTTCAGTTAAAACAAAACAAATACAAACCGATAATTTCAAGGTCGCGTTTAGTAAAAAAGCTGAGACAGTCCCTTTGATTATTTAAATAAGTCATTAAGGAGACGTGAGCTGGTTGTTTAATAAAGATGGCTTTCTTTGGTTCAAGGGTAACCAAATCATACAGTTGACAATTCGAAGGTTTCAGCTAGCTATGAAGAACACATCCTGTGCCACAGCCCAATTTCTTCACATCTCAAAATTTCGCAATTTCTTTGCCTACAATAAAAAAGATGAAATCCTATGGACTCTACTTCACACTATATCTACAAGTTCACCTTCAGTTTCGGTGACACATATAGACAGAACCAATAAAGTGTTCCAGTGTCACCGGTAAGAACACATTCCAAAGTAGTTATTAAGTCACATAGAAAACCCAAATGCAATTAATCTGAATAGAAATCCAGCACCATCCATTGCAAAGCATTTATTATTGTCCTGTCACAAAATCAATATTAATGACTGCTTCTCAATTATTTCACATAGCTCTAATTCAACGTTATTAAAGGTGACAGGAGCACTTTGGATTAATCGCATGTATCCCAAACTACTTGTGCGAAAAATAAGACTTCAACCATGGACTAATTAACCTACTAAAATATGATTGGTTATTACTATGTACTATTGTTTTATATAACTGAGTAACTGTCCATACATTTTACTTCATTGTTGTGATGCATGCTAGCTGTGAAACGATTGTTGAGAAATTAGGAAATGATATCATCCTGAGAAAAAAAAACTATTTATGTTAAAGTAATGAGTTAAAACCAATCGTTTTATGCTTTGTAGCGTATCTTACCACACATGTTTAGCATTTATCTAAAACCCTATAAGCACGACTAGAAAAGGAAAGTATTCAGAGTGCTAATAGCTACTTAATAATGTAAATATCAATAAATTTGATTAGTTTAAAAGATAAACACCTGAAGAAATGTTGGAAAGTTGTCTTCACTGTGATTAATATTCGGGAAAACATTGTTGTAATCGTGAAGTAATGGATAGATGAATACTAGGCAAGAGAAACACTGTAAAATAAGCTCTTTTGGATAAATGTTTCACTTTAGTTTGGGACTCCTAAGGAGTTTATGGTCTCTGTCGTCAGTTACCATTGATAACAGGATGTCTTCTCATCCAAAGCCTCAGGATGGTCGGGGGTGGGTGCCTTGCGCTGCGGGTTGGCCACCCCTCCGCACACCTCTTGAAATGCTCCCATATGACCGGGCGTCTTACATAGCCTCTCCTGAGGAAGTCCTACTCACTGCCTTCACGTGGCGGAGGTGTTTTCCACCAAAGTGAGAGGGTGAAAGCGGATGCCCGGCGCTCTTCACCGGGTTGACTGTCCATTGGATGACAGTCTAGGGGAGATGGCTAAACCCTGATTCCAAACCTCCAACGACTGGCGTATGAAGCTCACTGAAGCTCACCGGCAGACGTATGGACAAAGGGCTTGTTGGATGTCCTGGATGTCTGGCCCCATTCAAAAAGGCGTATGAACCGAACTCCGGTCACCGGCTGCCAATGGATAGTGGACTCCCTACTCCACTCCTACTGCCTTGCAGGTCACACTTGGTTGTGTAAAGGCTAGAGCTGCACTCTCAAACAAAAGGCCGAGCGATTCTGGGGACATCACTCGTACCAAATTCCCATGAAACTTCATGAACTCATGTTCATGAAGCCGGCTCATCCTCCCGTAGGAGATAGCCGAAGTAAAGTAAAGTAAGTAAGTCATGTAATTATCCATCTTGAAGTTAGATATTTTAGGGAGTAGTTGAGATTCGACCGATTTCAGGGTAGGGTTTCACATAATTTCTGTAAAATTACTTCGTATAATGTGTTTGAACGTTGTAAACGCTCCGATAAAAGAGAACATAAGACGCAAATGTGCATATCCTATTCGATTTTGTTATCAAAACGATTCTTTAGAGAGCAGCAGCTGTTTTGCAGCGCAAGCCTACATGTTTAATTCGTGATTGATTATCATACTATTTATTGTTTTTATCTGCTGTTGTCAACAATAGGTTAGAAAATCAAAGAATGTAACTGTCAAGATTTATATAGGTAGAAAATAAAAATAACATGCTAGGTTGGTTTTACAACCAGACATAACAATATCAGTCATTCGTAGATTATCACGAGTTTGTTATTGGTTTTATTAACGCTTTCCCCTTAATTCTATTATATTTTTGCAAAACGTTGAGGTGAAATAGGGACGCCGAACTGGTGAAAGCCGCGGTAATCATGAGTATCGTTTGTCTACGCCAACAACGTATAAACAAACACAGCTAACCGATCCCTCTCAGCCCTTAACTTAAGAGAGCAGAAAGCACACAAAAGATGGGACGGATATTAAGTATATTTTCACGATAATGTATAATTCAAAAAATCACCAAAGATATATCAGTTAGTCTGTAATCATGATCAATAAAATAGTGGGCGTTATTTGGCATAAGCCAATTCTGATTGGGTTATTTCCAGACTGGACATCGACCACCATATCAAATTCATGCTTTGTAAGTTTAAGAGTATCAAAAACAAAGACAAACAACGACAATACATCATCACTTTATGGTTTCCTTGTAACACTAAGTGGGGTTAAGTAGTCGGGGGAAAATTATTGACAAACCAAGTTTGCATGAAGATAGACTGATAATTATTACGAGTTTTACCTACCTTTGACTTAAAGTCCTTTAGTTATGCTGTCCTGGGGTTTGAACCTTTTCGTGAGCACAGTATCTTCTAATTACAAACTGTTACCCATATGTTTGAATTCTACACTCCCATACAGAGTAGTTTCAATTACTCAAGGATAAAATATAGGACTTATTAACCTTGATAAGTTCGGCAAAACTGAATATCAGTTTAAGTTGCCGTACTTTATGTCAACGGACCGAGGTAGAGGTTAATAAGCAGAAGAAAGACAATGAACATGAAAGTAACATCAGCAGTTATGAAAAGTAATACGGCAAAAAGGAACAATGTAAAAAGAAAAAGAAAGAATGTCTGTAAATGCAACTGTAGTTAATTTAAGTTGTAGGCCCTGCAAATCATCCCAAAATAATATTTTCATACCCACAGAAAGCTAATCACATTCGCAGTATTCTTACATCTAAGATCAGGCAATTTTGAAGACTACATTTTCAGTGAAGTAGACGGCTACAGGACCGTTACCATTGGCACACTTAATTTGAATGGAAAAACTAGCATTAATTTCAAGATATTTGTGTTCTGACTAGGTAGGTGAAAAGATACAGTCAGTAATGAGGAATTACATTTTGGTAAGACACAATGCATTTTCGCGTCAGTGACACAGAGGTAGAATGCTTGTTGATCACGAAATGTGGTTCGACGTTCGATCCCTGGCCGACGCATTCCAGTAATAAGACTGGGAAAGAGGGAAGGTTGAGCATGATGCTAGCAGCCCCAACCTGTAAAAATAAACACCCATGCTACTGAAACCTCAAAGCTCTAGCTTAAAGCCCTATGTTCCACTGGGAACGTAAAGGAATAAAAAAAAACACAACAAAATGCATTTGACGAACTTTACAGGCAAATAAAATTTACTTTCACTACATTCAAAAACAGACTGGAAAATGAGTAATACAGATGGATGCTGAATCAGTTTTAATTCGATTTATTTTCTAGTAAGGTTGAATGGATGAAAGCTTTAAGTAATTAAGAGATGAGAATTTCTAAGGCCATGTGACACGAATGAAAATTTCGTATATATATATATATATATATATATATATATATATAGCAAAGCAAATTTTCGAAATATATACATAAAAAAATAAAACAATGTGACAATAGGTTAAATCAATACTTACGCAATCGGATATTATACCACGTGGCTACATCACATATTTTAGAATGGAAACCACGTGAACAATCCTTTTCGAGAAAAAAAAACTATTCTAAATAAACATACAGACAAGATATTTCGAAAAAAGTAAAATCCGATCTTTTTGATCAATAGATGCACTTTAAGAAGTAAGACGGAAAAGAAGAAGATTAAAGTCATTCTGCATAATTATTCGACGGATCAGATAGAAAAAGAAAATATAAGGACATACATACTATTTGAAACAATACAGGACAAATAATACAAACAATAAATAAATAAACATCAGAAAGTGTGTCTTAGTGGAAGATAATCATAATAATTACAATATAGAAATTCTTTTTTAAAAGAAACAAAGGACACTTAAAAATAAATACGACTCGCCACGTACTTATTATTACAATAATATAGAAGGCATATCCTGCTGACTGATTGGTTATTAAGAATAAGCGCGTAATGGATTAATCTAAAATTAACATAACTGTCAATAGAATATACTTTGTCTGAGCAACTAGTGAGTAAAAGGTCAATCTATTTACTAACAAATTAGCACGAATCCCAAAAGTAAATAGGAACTATTTAACTGTAAGTCTGAATGCATATATATATGGTTCATAGATTGTCTACATTTTGGTTTGAGGAGTAAAATGTTGTAATAATCCACACAACATTCTTTTAAATAAAAAGACGGATTGAAAATGTGTTTCACAGAAGAAAGGTCAGTAAAAATGAAAACATGATTCATTACTGGAAACTTACCGAATAGATTTTAGCACCAGTAAGGGGTCATCTGAACAAATATCTTTTTCAACTGAAGCCTCAAGACGAGAGACAACCTCCTGCCATAGACTAGAAACCCCTGGACTATTGGTTCGGTCCATAGGTTGATCAAACGATGGAAGACTTTGAACATTAGAGTCGATAGATGGAGTCTTGAAAAAGAAGAAACATAGTTTTCTAACAAATTCAAAAACAGGAACTGTACTTATAAATTATAAGATAACATCCTAAAATATACTTAATCATCATACATATAAACAAACAAATAGGTACTCCTATATTTAATACACGCAATACAAAGAACTAAGGAACTTCTGTAGAAAAACATGATGTAATCCCATTAACAGGCACGAAATTAATTCCATACAAACTGTAAGTAGTTGACAAACTCAGAAAACTGTCACGGTAGAGAGATAGATAAAAGAAATACAATAAATGCACCATGGAAAGCTAACTGAAGAAGTGTTGAAATGATAAGGTTTATAAGAATAATTATTTCAACAGCATCACAGAAAATGTCTTCTTCCAACTACATTCCAACATTATTTCAGTCTAGCTAACAACACTTTGGGGTAGGCAACAGATAGATATGGACAAAACACGTCCCAGCTGTCTTAGCGACTTACAACCTCAATGACTAGTTCACTTGGTGCTATATATCTAACCCATTATATTAGGACAGACGAACTACCATTGTTAGCCGTAAATTATGATTGATGCAATAGATTAGATATTGATTATTTATAGTTTGAATTTCCGCAGATATGTAAACGAAATATACACTTTATTGTGAGTAGTAGAGTTGTTGTTGTCGCGGTTGTCCCAGATAAATCTGACTTCAGTGTGTACCTTAATGGGGGGTGAGGAATAGTTCCAAGTGATCAGTTGGTTACAGTGTTGTGACTGGAAGCTCAACAACAAAAATACTAAACACTCAGTTACAACACACTACAATGCTTATATGGTGGTTACATCAAACTCGGGAGATTAGTAATGGTCAAATACACAAAGCAATCACAGATACTGTATTTTAATAACAATTTTTTACAATCATACTGCAAACCCTTAGGGAGTAGTCGGGTATTTCACCTACACCAAAATTAACAAATATGAGGAAAAGTGAACCCAGATTTTTGTATACGTAGAAAGCTTTTATAGAGCACCGAACAACAAGGATTTATACGAATATCAAGGTGATATCGTAGATGAGCAGAACTACTTAATAGGCTATATTGAGAAAATAAATAGTAGCAAAATGGTAATGAAATAGTAGTTTACACTTGGAGAGAAAAGTATACTTTGATTGGACACTAGTAACTAGTGTGATGCGTCTACTCCTTTCTTTGGTGCAGACTGAATTCTGTGTCAGGTTTGCAATGTGGCCACCATTCTAGGTGGCTCGCCTCACGGTGTACATTGATTTGATGATTGCTTCCAACCATCTAATATCATCAAGACAGACGTATTTCCAACATTCATAAAGTGACATTCATTGTTCATCAGACTTTGCAATTAATAGGTTCCAGGTCTAATCCCTCCCTAACTACTTCAGTTTTGACAACTGGGTCGTATCCTCAGCCCTAACACAATAGGTGTGGCTCATAGTGCTGCACTTGAAAAAATTGTCCCAGGTGAGTGAGTTCTGACTCTAGCTGAGCATCTTGTTAGTACCCTCACATAACAAGACACTGTCTATTTGCACCTGATTGGACATTCAGGTCTTCTGGAAAGTATATTCATGAGAAGTTAGAAAAGCAGAAAGTAATACTAATACACAAATTTGGTTAAAAATAAAGACAATGAGAGTGAACATTTCACAGGACACCTCACTATATCGTCTAGGTAGATATTGGCTGTCCGGACACATTGTGTTCATTGAAATGTCATTAGATCTGAAGATCGACAGATGATTCAGGTGACGACACATGTCTCTGCTTCAATACATCAGGGAAGATGAGTTTATCCTGCATTTCTTTGGATTTCTAGTTCCCAAGCTCCATGTAAGAGTTGAATGATTACAGAAAGTGGATTTTAGAGGCCACGCTGGGTGAGTTACCTTCTTAGAAACCGTTAAACTAGAATTTATAATTCGCAGAAACTTGAACGACCAGTGAGTTAGGCAACATAGAGGGAAATATTTTACAGTTAAAGTATATTAGCATTACTAATAATAACCACCCTTGGATATCTTCTTTATCTGTCCAAATCACCTACGGCTTCTTCGATATACAGGAGTGCTGGTGGCTTTGTATATTATTCATATAGTGCCAAGGGAATGGGAAAAGGAAGAGTTTCAAGTTTGATCACGCATTGACATTAGTTGGACGACCACTGAGAACCAAGGAGTAATCGACAGCTGTCTCGTCCTAGCTTGGGACTCTTCATCAGTAGGCGCTCATGGACCCGACAGAGACTGAACCCGGGAACTCCAGGTTACGAGGCGAGCCTGTTGTTTATTCAGCCACTATGACAGGATCCAGTGGCTCGTGAATTCCAACTTCTGTCAATTCACGATTTTTAGTGCCACCGACAGAGTAGCTAGGGAACACATGGATGAAGTTGCCTCCCGTAAGAGAAAACAACTGACTCGTTTCCATACTTCCATAAGATTGCAGTCATTTATACAACTTGACTGGTATTACCATAATTAATTGGACGTCTCACAAAACAAAAACAAAGATCTGATACATCAGCTATTCATATTACAAAAATCTACCCGGAGAATACGTCTGAAGACAAAATATAGTTTAGTTTTTGCATTTACGATATTAGGTGAGTAGCAACTCAAAGAAAGATAATTCTACCAGAGAACAAAATTCTGTAATTACATTAGGAGCAGTCAAGTGGATATCAAATTGCAGAACTATGTTTCATTAAGCTGAAGCCTTAAAACTACGTGATTGCAGAAACGCTTTGAAGAGAGAGGTCAAAAGTGGAACATAATATATTCATTGAGTAGAAAAGATATCCAAACAAGTGTATAACGACACACCAATATTCAATAGAACAAATATGGATTCTTTATTTTCGTCCTATGTAGACCAACTGAACTAAACTATCATTTATTTTGGAACCACCTCAAAACTTCATAAACACTTAGAGATCGTTATTAATGCCTTGGGCTCTTACTCATTTTCAGCAAACAGGTTTGGGGTCTTGAGTTTTGGATAATGTGTAAGCTATCCATACATTGCTCGGAACCTGTCTAAAATATTCCTGAGCCTACTTTTAAGTAAAAAGAATGTTGATATTATGGATTCAGACAAATAATTTATTTGGTCAACGACTGAATGTGTAGAATTAGTCAAATTGGACGGAAATGTAGCTACGAATGAATTTTCCTATATAAAGGCTTTGACTTCATCGCATAAACTATGAGGGAATTACACATTTCGTGTACAAAATACGCTTTAAGTGAAGAAATGCAATGACACCTTGTTGTCCATGTACATTCGTGTTCTGAAATCCGCTAATACTTCTGATTAAATCCTTCAATCAACCCCAAAATTCCTGTCTTTTTAACACACCAGTTTTCCTGCATACATTTACTAACAGATCACAACCGAATTCGGGGCGAAGTTATAGTTAGTTATGGCTTTTGCAAATGGGAAACCGTACACAAAATGTGGCAATTTGGTGAATTTATTCGTTTTAGAAACTAAAATCCAGGTTTTACTAAGCAACTGGGGTAGAACTGCAAGAAATTACCAGAAGGAAAGTATTCAAAGTGCAACATAGTTTGAATTAAAGAACATCCAACTACTGGGTCTTATATAAAGCGTACATAAAAAAGGACAATGTTTCAAAAATATCAGCGCAAAATTATGCGCAGCAAAAACTGGACTAAATAACATAAAAACTTGTCGTATGGTAAGAAAATGAATAAAAAACCAAAAACTTACCATTACGCAAGAAGGTCGAGAATTGCGCCAAACAAGGACGAATGTTCAGCATTCAACCGTTAACTAGCCGTCAGCGGTAAGATAATATATATAACGACTTTTCGCTGTTACAGATAGAGCTGTAAAGGAGGTATAATTACGATAAAAAATAATTTCCTCATTCAGACAACCTTAAGGTTATGGAAATGAATTCAGGCAAAAGACTTAGTGTCCGGTTAAACGCCAGTCAAGTCACAAAATACACAAGATAACCAACTTACTATAATCCAGATACAACTATTCAGCTCAAAATACCCTGCTTGAAGGTTACTGAGCTTGTTAACTTCTTGGCCTTAACCAGAAACAACACAAAAATAACATTTCGGATATAAACCAGAACATTTCTGTATCCTGCCCCACCCATACTATTTTAGCCAGGATTCTCACAATACAACGCCTATCCTGTAGATTCAAAAGTACTTGTTCTGCTGAGGCTATAAACAATTCAAAACTACAAACTGACCATTCCGACTACCAGAAGCATTTGGGAATCAGTAACGTTTAGCGATGTTGACTCCCTAACTAGAGTGCACAAACAAATAAACGTAACAAGACAATGTGCCAAGTTGCGTGGGCACTTGGCTGTGTACCTACAGCCTAACAAGGGTGCTTAAACAGTAAAGGTTGGCATCCTGCATTCAGTGGGTAATTCTACAGACTGTTAACTTTAGGGAATTATTGACGACCACTCCCTGTTATAATGCAATCCAACAATGGAAGCTCCTCTTCGTGACCTTTTCACCAATAGATGAGTAGAAACGTATATTCTTTCAAGATGACTTGTTTGAAAAATCGGTCTTTATCCCCTATTTTCGACATCGTGGTCCTGTCATTCGCACATATCTACCATACTTCGAGGCTGCATCTGAGCGTTTCGGTGGTAAACTTGACCCACCTCTCCACAATAATAATCCGCTTCATTCTAAAAACAGTACTTACAATACAGCATGGAGTTTTAAGCATTTGTAACAATATCGCATCTAATTCATTCAATATAAATGAAATTTAGCCACAGAAAGGTTTCCAGATTTACATGTGGAATAATAACTACCATTATAGTAAAGGTAATAATAATAGGAATTTTTGTTTCAAACATTATTGTCTGTACAATATGGAAGTTTTAGTATGTTTTAGGGCAATGAATCTAATTTTCTCTTGGTGTGGCATGTTGAGGGGAAAAACGGAAAGGAGCAATTGTTCGAGAGCTTAAATGGTGTTTACACTTATGAAAAGATAAAAAATGAGTGAACTATAAATAGAAGAATAATAAAAGTAAGGTTTGATGGTATAAGGATTGGAAGAATTCTTTATTTAATAGTGGAAAGGTTAGTTAGTTCTTGACTGACACTATTTTCATCACATAAAATAGGTGCCAGTTCTACCATCGTGGAATTTTTATACTTAGACATGATCGCATAAATTCTTTTGAAATGATTCCTTGCTTTACCTGAAGAGACACAGGTTGAAAGCTGCCGGTAAAGTGGACGCTCACAGTCTAGTGAAATCTTTTTAGCAAATTTTTTGCATAAAACTATGCACGTATCAGTGACAGTGTCACCTATATGGCCCATTTGGATATCACTCACCCTATTGAGAGTCCTTAGAGTCCTGAAAAGTATGATGTAGTCTATTTTTAGCAGCCCAGTAAAGAATGATTCGACCTGGGTAGAAACAAAAGTTGTCAGAAGAATACTACGCATAGTCCTTCTTAAATGTCACACTGTTTACGGTCAGTAGTGCCTACGGTCAGTAGTGCCTTCCTATCGAAGAGTAGCCTGCAGCTCCCTCCTACTACCGGTACATGTGTTACAAAGGAATTTTCGATAGTGGGCCTCTGGATCTCATGACGACTGCTAGATTTCATGAGACCACTGAGGATGACTATATTCGTCTCCAATAGCGACCAAATGGTCTGGCAGATGCACAGTTGAAACTACTTTCAGGTAACAGAGACCACCCAGCAATCCTGTATTACAGAGTCAATAAGGAAAAACCAGATAAGGATAAGCCTCCTGACCGATATTGACGTTGCGAATTCAACCCAAGAGTTTGGTTGGAAACTCAAGAATACATTTAAGCGTGTCAGGGTATCACCAGAGACTTTCAGGTTGGTCGCTAGCCGGATACAGTATGTCTGTTGCTGCATAATTATCCGTGCTGCACACCACATCACGGAGCATCTGAACAAAAATTGTATCCTCCATGGAGCGCAATACAGACTCAAGAAGGAGCCATCCGGTTGAATGTTTGGAATAACTGGATTACGTGCTGAGATCAGAACATTCCAATCTGTTTCTTATTTCGAGACCCTGAAAAAGTTTTGGAGTTCGGTGTTTTGCAACGTCCTTCTCTGGGAAGTCTTCAAAATGATAGCTGGTAATCCACTGAAGTCTTAGATCTGGGCCTACCTGAAGGACAGAATTTCTCATGAAGTTGTAGTGTGGCAACCACTAGGGAATAGTTAGGAGCGATTCCCTGCCCATTTTTGTTTTCGTTTTTCGTAAAGGATTTATCAAATAACCTAGGATTCCCGAAGCTCCTCTATGCATAGGAGGTAAGTCCGTGGAGGATCACGGGAAATGAGGAAGAATCGATTAAGCTGCAAGCCCCGGGGAACCAGGCCGCGAAACATAGGTCAGATTTCAACACTGATAACACAGCTAATTTTCGACAGTTCAACAGTAGAATGTAAATTCCCACTCTGCTCATGTGAAACTGACGTTTGGCATGCAGAGACGGAGTGCGATAGCGCACTGCTCCCGAAGGATAAACTAGACAGTCAAAGCCACCCGTCAGTGACGGTTAACATAGGGTGAAGGCTCGATAAACTTGTCCATCCGAACCAGTTTCCTGCCGGTTGGAGGCGACGGACACTATAGTGGCTTAGACGTTTGCTGGTTGACAGAGGGCCGTAGCAATACGGTCAAAATTATTGATGTATATTACACTGACATTATTCGCAATCCTCTCGAGTGTATTGATAATAACCAACTGCGAATCACACGGGCAAGCTGCTGTGTAACTAGCTCGCTATATTGACTTTTACTTGGTTGACCAATACATCTTTGACTTATCGTCCACCTTTTAATACCGTCTGCGTCGAAATCGAATTCACTATTACAGACGTAAAGTAGTATTCTGAGTTTCGGAGCGTTGTCTCCTGACTACAGCAAACTATCCTGGTACCGTTTTTGACATCACCTGGGCAATCTACTAAGTGGCTAGTCAGCTAGGTGCCTTTACATCACGGATTGTCATGTAGTCGCACAAACATATGTACAGTCACATCTAGAAGTTCACAAAATCACTACAGGGACAATCCATAAACGCGATATGGGTGTATCGGGTAGAGTACAGCGGAGGACCCCATGAAGCGTCATCAGGCTGTATTGACTACTGAATCCGAGAGCTACAAATCCGAACACTCAAACTACCACGGAAGTACACGGTACACGAAATGGTGCACAGCTTAGCGTACCTGATCCCAAGAGTTATTATCAAAACACCCCCAACGGCACCACTCAGGTTTCTAGTAGTCGAATCTTCTATCGAATTGATACTCCAAATAATAAACCGATGGACTGCATTATTGCTGAGAGATAATATAGGTTGTGAAACAATGAGCGAGTGAAGCTGAGAAACTTAGTCAGCCACACTGTAGGAAATTTATTATTCAGCAGGTAAAGAAAGTCTCGCAAATCACAACGAAGATATCCTTTGTACTGGGTTACTCGTCTCGCAAATCTGGACTCCATAAAGACTAACTTCGTCTAAGCGGCCACGGCGTCTTGTGTCGTAGAGACTCTGCAGACTAATCGCATTAGAACTGCCCATCAAACAGCAGCACCAAATGCTAGAATACTACACAAAGACGACAGCTTTGTGCACATTCATAGGAGAAGTAAATTAGTCACAGTGGGTTGTACTGACACTGCATATATTCTACTGTCCCGTTTGTTTCTCCTCCTTCCGTTGTATGCCTGTTAGTTCGCATTTTTCACTCAATTCTCAGGTCTCCCTTCCCTTTTTCGGTCTACAGATTCTGTCGACTCCTTCCTATTCCCCTAATATGGAGTTCTCCAGAATGTCACTCGAACATACTGGTAGATTGCCCGTCGATATAAAGTATGCAAGCCTTCGCCCATACCACATGGATGGTAGATTCTCAACCCGAGGAAAATCGACAAGGATTCTTGTGGGTCCCCAGTTGTTTCCTGCTAGAAATGACCTACTATCTCTCCGGCACCTTAGTGGTATAAGGACACAAAGCACATCTACTCCCGGAATTATCTGCGTTTATGCTAGGTCTTACTATGGTTCGAAGGCCATCCCGCGTGCCCTGATTTAACTATTGGGGACGCTTCTCAGGGCTTGGGATGACTTGGGGGAGGTGTTAGAGATCTCTGCGTAATACTCCATTTATCACTGCTTATCAACTGGTAGTGCTATCAAGTATACTGTGTGTGCGGAATCAGACGAAAAACTTTATGCTTTCGTGCAGTCGGATCCATTATAAGCAGACAGGATCGTGGGGAATCATACTTTAGGCACTGGAAAAGAACTGGGTGGAACGCTGTGACAGCATGGCTGCTCCTACACAGAGGGATTTCGATTCAAACGTCTTCGAATGGTAAGTGGTCACTAGTCATGAATTGATGAAGTTTGTTGACACTTCACTAGGGCTTAACCCAGTACCACCGTCCACTTCCCAATCAACTCGGCCCTTTCGGATGAGTACTGGCAGTTTCTACCGAGAATCCCTTGAGCAAACCTCAGGTGAAGAGATGGAGCATTCAACTTTCCTGTCGTTATTATTTCATCACAGACACGGTGCCGTGGGCAGTACACTTAATACGCCCTATCCGATGGAACAGTTCCTAAGGCTTCGTCAGAACGAGGCGGTGGAGATATGTACCGGACCTAAGGCATAGGTTATTTTGCATAATTTCACAATATG